AAATGTATAAATTAGGAAAAAGAATCGTGTCCTTTTACGTCTACATCCAGACTACTTCCTGGTGGGTTGCATCTCCCAGAAACAGTGTCTCAGTTTCTTTTTTCCCATTAAATGATCTCCTGAAGTGACAGTTAAATGACTTCTGGGTCACGTTCACCAGTGCACTCTGGGCCACTGCAATTACATTGAAATAGGGCTGGAGAGGCATTGGTCAGTCAGCTCCAAATTTTGTGACTGCTCTAAATACTGTATTTGGGAATTCTTAATGAAAGAAGAGTACATGTGTATATTTGTGAGAGGATAGAGGGTTCCTATGGGGTGCTATACAATGGAAAAGTGCTAAGTATATTAATTATCTATAGAACAATTAGTATTCAGCTTATCCCACAATTCAGATCCAAGTCCAGATCCAAACCTTCCCTAATGGGTGAATTTAGCCTTTTGATTCAAGCCTTACCCTGCTTGTAAGTAACAGAACTGACCTAGTCCAGCCACAGAACAGTACATATAGCCATGCCTGTGTGTTGCTCTTGTTTGTATTGTGGGAAGCTGGAGCTGATCCAGAGAAATCTATGAAGAGATTCTAGACTGACTGTGGGGTGGGTGAGAACTAATTACATTCCTTCTCTGCATCAAATGTCTTAACAGAATAAGAAACAAGCTTAAATAATCCTGAAACACTTGAATTTATGAAAACAAACCTGCAATTTTCAGTTAGTTGCTAGCTCAAATCAGTTTGCAACTACTTTGCTAATTCAAACGCCACTCAAGTTGGCAAAATTGTTCCAATTCCTACACTAACAGGTCTTTAAATGTTTTCAGGAAGTCCTGGAAATAAATAAAACTGCCATTTCAGTGCTCCTAAAAGACTGCTACAACAGACTGTCTTGACAGTCACAAGGAGAAAAACTTCCAAGAACATGAACTCATTTGCAAGGAAATGGAACACTGAGATGAAACAAGGACTCCTCACAGCACAGCACAGGTCTCCCCACAGTACTGAGCAGGTCAGTTTTCCCCTGCTTCCCTGTAGAAGAATACTTCTGTACAAGCTGAAATACTTGGGTTTAGAATATGGGAGACCTCCATCTGATCTTGTGTGGCTCATCTCCAGGTAACCCACATTCTGGGGGGCAGGGGAGAGTCAGAGCATTGAGCTACATGACAGAAGTACCCTGCTGTGTACACACGGCCTTAATTCCCATGGGCTTCCTTGTTCACTTTGTAAAACGTGTGGCTTTACTGTCATAAGATACTGAGATGAAATCGATGAAGAATTTTAAATTACTGTGCAATGGATACAGCATGAGAATTTTAGATATCACATTACTTAATTTCCAGTTTATAGTTTTCCTTTGGGATTACAAGGCAGCCTGATTTACTGTTCTCTCAGGAAAGATAATGTATGGCTAAATATTGGAAGATGCTTGGGTGGGTTTTTCTTCAGATAAGTAGAACTCAGTCTGGAGTCTTAATGGCCATGGACTGTCCCTGTGACCTCCTTTCCTAGAAGTGGTGTTTAAGGCTGGGTGGGGAAAGGTTTCTGTGAACATCTTGTCTGCTGTATTTAGAAAGGCTTGAGTCCATGAACTAGCCAGAGAACAACAGTTTTGTGGAAAAGTATAGAAGTGTTGCTCACAGACCTCCTTTATTATTTCTATAGTCCTTTTCTCTGTTTAATAACTCAGAAGGGTTGCAAACAGAGGCAATGATAGGCAATTGTGTGACCATACTGAGAAATAACAGATTGTTTGGTTTAGAAAGACATTGTTTGCATTACCACCAGGTTACCATTCCTCTGCTGGGCATACTGCACTCTCTTAAAAATTTCTTTTTTCCTAAGAGTAGGTGGGAAAAAGCAATATGCTCATTTTTGCCATAGGACAGCAGAGAGCATGGTCTGAAAATAGGTTTGTTTGAACGTCTGCTGCATTGGGATTGACTGTACACAGTCTTGTGTTAATGCCAGTTTGTTCCAGCTGTGATCCAGAAATGCCTCCCTCACCTCACTTGGAACTGGGGAAGCCCAGCCCAGCAGACCAGTCCCTCAGGCCAGTGCAAGGTCCCAACAGCATCTTCTCTTGTAACTCTGCACTTGAGAAGAGTTCATAGTGCTCAGGATTTACAGCAACTCTTCTCTCTTAGTGCTGTGGAGAACCAGTGAGGAAGCTCCTCATATGTCTGGACACGTGTCAGGCTCAAACAACCTCGGAGTGTTAAACTACCATTTTGATCTTTATGTGGACTTTGACTTGTGTGTGCAACCATTGTAGCTTCTCTCCAGAACCACTGCAAGCTATGAACATGCCTTTGAGGAGAGTCCTGCCAGCCAGCAGTACAGCTAAGTGTACTGGAGAGACCGTATTCTGCCTTACAACAAATCCTACTGTCAAGCTATAGCATCCTTTGAAATCAGGGAAAGAACACCTTTGAAAGATATCTTGAAACTGTCATGCCTTTAGCCCATCTGCTTTGCCCATCATGATAAGCAATTTATCCAGCATCTTGCCTTACTCATACCACTGGGAAAATTGCTGCTCTGTGCAGAGTGATCAGTTTCTTTTTCAAGACTCAGCTTGAAGTGCAAGGCTGTAAGCAAGAATATTGGGTACTCTGACTCATTTTCTTGGAGGGCTATTTTTGTGATTGTTCCTGGAACTACATCTTAAAACTCTCAGTTAATGTTCTTAAATCATTTTCACAGCTTTTCTGCTGAGCCACCTCAGCACAGGGGTTACCTCTGAGGTGAGAACCTTTCCCAGGTTCCCAGGAATATAACTAACCCCCATCAATGCCATCTGTGAAACCAAACTACTGGCCGAATACCTCCTTTTCCTTTCTCTCAGTAAGTGGTTAGAAGTCAGTGTCATTTAAAATTAAATCTCTTGTCCTAACAGGATATAATTCTTGGATTTTAAAGGATCTACATAAAACAAACCACTAGATTCAGCTACAATAACTGCCTGGTGACACAACTCTGTCTCAAGAACCTCTTAATGAACTCTCATTATAACAAATTGCCACTGTATAATATCCTCTGTAGCTCCACACATCTCACCACTTCCTGTCTCCTGCTTTCTTTACAATCCATTAGCATCCCTTAGCAGCCTCATTTGAACAATTAAACTTTACTGTTTCTAGAAATGCACAATTCTACTATTAGGTCCGTGCTGTGTTTGAGAGACCTGGGAAGGGATTCACATGGTCTAATTTAACAGATTCCTCCTACAGTTCATGGTCCTCTGAGAAAGAAGTAGTGCAGGTTGTTGGCCTGATGTGACTGGTAACTCCACCAGCCTCTGAATTGGAGGTCCCCTAAAAGGCACTCAAACTAAATGTCTGATGTTAGACAGGGAAAATCAACATCCTTTCCTCATACCCAAGTTTCAAGTCTCCCTGGCTAATCTTTGCACACAGTTTAGTCTCTTCTATATAACTGATGTGCAGCAGCTTTTTGTTGTGCTTGTTAATGTTCAACATTAGCAGCTCAAACTGCCCTAAGTGAGCTGGATGTTCTCACTCACATGTCTGATAATAGGTTCTTATTTACCAGTGTTTCAACTGCAAGCAGACAAACTCAAACTCATGAAGGCACTACAATGTGTCCCTGAAAGTATTCTCATGGATTAAAGACCTGAGTGGCCCTGGATGGTGCTGATCCCTCGTGGAAGATACATCCAATGGTCTCCATCCCCACTGAAATCAATTCAAAGTAATTGTGTGGTGTGATGTGAACTGTGTTTTCTGAGCTTGTCTGGTAACTATGCTTAAAGTCCCCTGAGAACAAACGTATAAGAGATTTTACAGCTACAAAGAGCTTCTGCCTGAACACTAATGGATACATTGGCAAGCATGATGTAACTTGGTGTTTCTTACTCTTTCCTAAAGACATAGACTATGCTCTTTTGACAGTTTAATAGCTCAGCAGATTCTCATTCCATGTTATATTCCAGGCATGCAGTTGAGAGATTAATTAATTCATGAAAGTAAAAATATTGCACTTGCATTTCGTATGTCTTTACTGTGTTAACTGCATTGTATCTTGAAGGATGACATCCAGAAACTGGAAACATGGCTCCATTCAAGTCAACTGCAAAACTCCCAGTGACACAAGGAGCTCATTCATAAAGCTCATAGCACACATTGCTCTTTTCTGTAACTTCCATTAATGAAATGCTCTCAGGAGGAGCTAGGCAGTGCGAAATCTCAACTCCAACCTTCATCTGATGTCTCTCCATTTTGCTGAAGCTCCATGCAAGTATAAAGTTCGTTTTTCCAATATCATACGGCAGAACCAGAGCCTATTCCTTTCTAGGTGCAGGCTTCTCATACTTTTCCTCACCACCTTCAAAACCATGATGGAAGCAGATCTTAATTTGCTTGTTTTGTGGGGTTGGGGTTTGTTGGGGTTTTTTTTCCCATACATTAGGGTTGGGAAATAATACAGGTTCATTTGCTTCCTCCTCTTCCTGCAGCCCCCAAAGTGGATTTCACCTTAGAGATGTTCAGTGAGGACTGAATCACTTGCTAAAATTGGCAAAAATACCCTGGGCCTGAGCCACCAAACTGCTTTTAGTTGGTCATTCTCTGCCGATCTGCAGTGTCTTCGCGAAGTTTAGCAAGTCACCGGGGTTAGGAGGTGACAAATTCAACTCAGCTCAAGGGAAACGCCTTTGCTGATGGTGCCCGCTGGCACTAGAAACGAGGGTGTAAGCACACAGCGAACTTCTCCCCGGGGGTAATGCAAACTCCTCTAAAGTCGTTCAGCTGCAAACGGTTAACAAGTTTCGGGAAGGACCGGAACAGCCGAGGGCCATGTGGCTCCGGACCCACTGTGCCAGCGGCGGCGGAGACTCCCGGCGCCGGGCAGTGCTGCAAACCCTCGACGGCTTCTGTTCGTTTTTTCTCCCGATAGCTCCGGTGAATTTGCTCCCCGGTTGACAGGTTCCGCCTAACAGGGGCCGTGTCCCCGTCCCCCCCCCCCCCCGTCCCCCCCTCCCTCGCCCTGCGGCGCTGCCGGGCGCGGCTCCTTGGCTCAGCGCCGCGGGTCCCGCCTGCCCGGTACGCGGCGCTGGGCTTTCCCGGCCTCCCGCCGCACCGCACCGCACCGCAGCCCCATGTCCGCGCTCCCCCCCGGCGCCGACATCAAGAGGGCTCTGGAGAACAGCCCCGAGACCAACATCGAGGATGAGCTGCCCGACGAGCCGCCGCAGCCGCGGCCCAAGAGCTACCTGGTCCTCAGCATCCTCTCATGCTTCTGTCCCGCCTATCCCATCAACATCGTCGGCTTCGTCTTCGCCGTCATGGTGAGTAGCCTCCCGCTGGGTGCCCGAGCCACTTTCGGCTTGGGGCTGGGTGTTCGGCGGGGCGACCGCCGGCTCCCCGGGCGCCGCGCTCCCGGCCGGGACCTGCGGGAGCAAAGCGGGACTGGAGGAGCCGTCAGGATAGCGGGCACCCAGCCGCCTGTTAACCGCTTGTCCCTGACCCTGTGGACAAAGGTAGGTGAGGCAGCGAGCCTGAAAGCATCAGCAGGCTCGGTCAGGGTGCCCATGTAGCTGTCCTAGCAGCAGATGACTGAGGAGTAAAAGGCTGTTCAAATCAAGTTTTCAATATCAGGCTATGTAAGGGAGGGAGCTTTATGCCAGTCGGTGGGATTTGTTCCATCTACTAACTTGCACACTAAATTGGACACAGATCTATGTGTAAAAGGAGCAACTGGGCAACAGAAATCTGATTTGCAAAGGAAGAGATATGGTTTCTGTTTCAGCTAATCAACTATGATATAAGTGCCTTTTTTCCAGTAAGCATGTTCTTTAGCTTCATCCAAACTCTTCGCTAGAATAAAACACACAACAGTTACAACTGTAGATTGGTGGCAAAATCTTTTATAAAATTGAGTTCTTACCACACTGAGAAAACAGCCTTACTCCTATAACCCATAATGATTTGCACAGTCCTTAATAATCCAGCAATCCCATTAACTTCAGGAAGATTGTTAGAACAGAATCCTCCTCTCTGAATCAGAAGTTGCAGAGTCAGATCCAGACTTTTCAAATAGTATACATGATCAGTGTTCTCAGTAATACTGCAATGTATTTCTGTTGTTTAGGAGCTGAAAAGGGTTTAAAACATATTGTGTGTTTTCATCCTTTTCTCTGACAGCCAGGCTGAAAAGGTAAGTAAAAATATTCTTTCTTTTTGCAATTAAGTATAAGAACAATTCCCAGTGTCTAAAATGTACTAAAGCACACTTTCCTACAACTAGTAAGATTGGTCACAAATCACATTGCTTAAGCTTGAAAATCACTTAAAGGAACTATTCCACCTTCACAACCTATTTTGACCAGATAAGTATTAGCTGACTTTTTTTCCCCCTCTGTGTTTATTTTCTTTGTTGTTAACTTTAGAATATGCTCTTTTCCTTGATTTGGGAAGATTGGGTTCTGCTGGTATGCAGCATCCTTTATCTGTGGACACTATATAAAGTAATGCGAGCTGATGATCTGGGGCTATGAGCATCTGTTCACTGTGACGGTGCTTTCACCAAAGCACTGGGGCTGCACAAAGTTAACTGTCAAGGACACAATTTGGCCTCTAAAGATTTTTGCACCCCATATGGAGAAATCTCCACCCACACCCCAGCTGAAGTTCATGCAGGCTTTTGGAGTCAGGCTTAAGTAACTTGTCACTGGGGGATATGTAGAAACCAGGGTGGGAAGAGCACTTCTTGAATGCTAAACAGTCTGTGCAGGTCTCAGCTGCCCACTCCCTGAAAGGGGGAAAACAAAAAACAAACCCATAACCTCCACTGTACCTGAATCCTTTGTTTCAACATATTCCTACCTAAAACCCCTCCTTTTCCTTGCAAATAACATGTCCAACTTCTTTTCCACAGCCCAGTGCCCCTGCCTTTTAGAGCTGCAGCCTGTACCTGCTCCATTAACCTCCACTCCAGGTTCTGCACTTTAACCTGTGCTGGGTTTATTTCCACATCTGATGGGATCTACATCCTCTCTCTCTTTCTCAGCCTTCTTCCTAGGGTTGTTAAGGTTTAACACTGAGGTACAGAAGCCAGTTATTTGCTTTTATTGCAGAAGATACCTTTATAATCTGCAGAGCTTGCTTGGGATCTTGTGTCAGAAGAGAGAAAGACCCATAAAAGTGGAGTTGTCTATGAATTTCTACTTCCTAGAATGGGTCTAGAAGGAAAAGTTCTATGAGCCCCTAGAAAGAGGGTTATGGTTCAACACCCTGTTTGCCTGTGTCGTGTCCTCCTTAAGTGCTCTCAATTCAGACAATGTTCACTCTAAAAGTAGAGTCTGGGCTCTAACACCCCTCAAATTAAATGACACATTTGTCTTCAGTCTCTTCTGCTGCTACTTTTACAACTCCAGCCCTGGTTTCCTCACGTCTTTCTCACCTTAACAAACACACACACAAACCTTACCATTTCAGGTCTTACCTTCTTGAATATATTTTTAGCATCAACCTCTCCCAAATGCTCCCTATTGTGATAATAACCTTTCTTGCTCCTTACCTCCTTTGTGAAGGAAATCTATTTTCTGTGATGGGGTAAGAGAAGAACTGCTAGAATGGACACTCAATGGCATCAGGGCGTTGATACATTGGCATTACAAGAGCAGCCCCCTTCTTGCTGGTCACTTTCAGGTGTGAGGATTGCTTGGTGTTTTTAGCAGATGGACATCTGTTTTCCCCAGGGTCCTGGCCAGGACTCCTGCCTGCAGGAGCACTTAGTACTCCCCTGCAGCTCCAGCCAGATGCCATCAGTTCTTCTGCTTCCTATTGCTTCCAGCTGCTATGTAATGCTGCTGTACAATTATTTGGCTCACTCAGTCCCAGAGGTGCCTTACTCAGACCTTCCCTATTCTTTTTAGCATAGGTGGGACCACAGGCATCAGGGCAGGAGTATGGGGCAGGTACCACAGTTAGGAGGCTCTTGACAGAGAGACTCCCATGGTGTGGCTCCTTATCTGCAGTGGTATCTTTTTCCCCTGTTGTGAACCCAAAAAGCACTTTGCTGGCACTGAACTGCCTGTTGTATGTGAAACCTGGCTCAGCAGGGTTGGTTTGTGTCCAGCTCATGGAATCAGAGGGAGACTATGGGACAACTCTGAAAAATGAATCTGATACTTCTAATGCCAGCACTAAGGATTGATAGTTGAACTAACTTTGGCCTTTCTCAGTATGCCATCTTCAGTTGTCTGTATTTCAAATAAGTGTATGTAGGACATCATCTAATTTTATAGAGCCTTAGATTTGTAACAACTTCATAATAGTCTCTCAAAAGTTATTTCTCCCTGCCCGTTTGTTCCTAACTCCCTCTTTATGTTGACACATTTCTAATTATTTGCATGTTTCAAACAATGTATGTGGCTAAGCTGTGACAATCTTGGCTCATCTGCCTCTGATAGTAACAAGCTCTTTGCACCTATTACCCTTGGATTCACATGCCTTGTCTGTAGATTAGTTTCCCTAAGCAAAGACAACAAACAAGAGGGTGGTAGAAGTCATGGAACTTACTTTCTGAGGGGGTCATTCACCTCTTCTAACTTGGATCCTACAGGGCCTTGTACAGTGTGTTGGCTTTGGTTAGGTCAGTGACTAGCACAGTGACCACAGTGTCCCTGTACAGCTATACTTCTCTTTAGGTAGAAAGTTTATTTGGGAAGTTTATTATTTATACAGCTTTTCTTAAGTAACTCACAGGTCCCTGGACACCTGACACCATATGGGACAGCCTGTACCTACTTCAGGAGTATTAAACAGCAAGGCTCAGCTGCTTTTCTTAAGCATTTTTGCATGGCCCTTGCCTCTGCAAACTGGTAAGCTTTTCCTTTGCAACCAAGACAGTTGCAAAGGAAAAGAAGTCCAGCACTGTTTGCTTGCCACTATACAACCTGCAGAGCAAGTTCCCCTTTCATTGTGTCCTGCTCATCACCTGCCTGCTTGCCAGAAAGCAGAGGTTCTGAATTGCTCCCTGAGTCCCCCTCTTCTTCCTCTGTAAGTTGCTCTTGCAGTGAGGAGTCACACTGAGCTAGCATGTCTCATTCTTCCTTTGGTCTGAACTATAGAGAATGTCTCACTTCCAGGCACAGCCAGATAAGGTTTGTTACAGTCTGGCTCGTAGAAAGCCAGGAGAATGTTGATCAGAGAACATCAGTGTGCTCTGCCCTGGTTTGTGAGAGATGTAGAGGAGCATCTCTGAAGCAATTCAGTATTCTGAATTACGGCACTCTGAGAATGTGGATCAGAAAATGCACATTAAAAGAGGTTAATAGTTTGTAACTAATTCAGTGAATTTCTGTTCATATGAGGTGAAGCTGCTTCATTGTTGAACTGTGAATATCTTTTATAAATAGATATGTATGAACCTGGTGAAGTCACTGAGGTTACTCAAGTAAATAAGCAGCTGCAGAACTGTGGCTTTAATTTAGCTTATGACTTCATAGTAAGTGAGGTAGCAGAAACCTGAGAAATCATACGGTATTAGGTTGAAAATGGCTGAAATTGGTTTGAAAAGTTGGACAGACCAAATGTCTCACACAGATGCTGTATCCCGTATATATCGCCTAGCCCTTTGAAATAAACAGATGTAACTTTTAAGGCTTTAAATGTTAATGTTGTCTATGTCTAACACTGAAAACTGGATGCTTGATGCAAAGGCCCTCTGAAGCTGACAGAAGTAAATGAATTTCAAAGAGCTTTGCATCAGACCCCCAACCACTCCCCGAATCTCTTTTCTTCTTGATTGCTGTCTAAGTTATGCTATTTAATTTAACCTCTTAATAAAGAAACTTTTGTCTCCTTCCTGTCTCTCCCAAATCCTCCTCTTTATCATTAATGCCATTTTTCTCCTCTCCATCATGGATTTGTATTAAAATGACATTATTTATTAAAGTGCACAGGGTGAATTATTTATGTGGTACCTGCAGAAATCACATGGACATTCTCCAGGCTTCCTAAATACAGTAGTAAAATTGCACAGAACTGCAAGCTGGTGCTGCCTTGTCTCACTTACAACTCTGTCAGTCTTGAGGCTGCATATATGGAGAACCGAGTTTAGAGTGTTTGCAGGACCATTCTTTAGATGTCACCCAAAGTGAACAATGGGTGGGGAGAACAAAGTACAGGGCTGGGCTGTCAGTGGTGCTTCTCCACCTAGCTCCCTGCAGCCACAGTTGCATTCATAGGTGCTGACAGAGGCAGAAGTCAGCCTGCTCAAGGCCAAGCAATGTTTCTCCTGATCCTCCTTTTGTTGATCTTCCCAAATGTATTTTGTGAAAAACCTAAGCAAGCTCTTCTGCAGATAGGAGTGTTGAGAACTGTGGAGTACCTTAGGTGAGAGGAACTATGCCAGCCACGCTTTGTAAAAGGAGGCTGCATGGGTGAAGAATCAGAGGTGACATCATCCTATTTGACTAGGTATTTGTATCCATCTGTCATTTCCATCTCTTCCCTCTTTCCCCACTATATCTTTTAAGTCCAGTAGCCAACTTCAACAAAATCTGACAGCAGAGTAGAGGTATTAGCAATATTCTTTAGGGAAATAAAATAGAGAAATGTTTAGGCATGCAAGCTTCCAGAAACAGAAGAAATGTATCAGAGCTCTCTTTAAGGGCCAGAGTGCATCAGCAGCTCAGTCTTTCTTAGACATCAGAGAGTAAGTACCTGCACTTATCCATGAGATGCAATTGTAGGAATATAGACTTCATTGCTTTGGGACTGTCTTGGCAGAGTGGTATTACTGCAGTGCTAACACCAAGGATGCATCTAGCCCATTAACTTGTGTGTGCTCACTAATTGAGAGAACACACAGAGATAATGTCCCTAATTATTTTTCTGCTTGGGAAAAAAGGCTCTGCAGCAAAGCTTGGTGTCCTTTGAAGTTCATTCCTTTTCTGCTCTCCACAGTCTTGGATCTTCATTCTGTTGAAGTAGCTGCTGCTCTGTCTTTGCCCCACAAAGTGATTAGTAACTAAAGCACTTCCGTGACAGCACTTGGCAATACCTCATCCAGTTGTTTTCTAAAGGCAATCTGAATTATTTAGTGCACAGAAGAGTTAATTTGATCAGGTCTCCATATTTCTCCCCCTGTATTCCCAGTTTCTGGGATACTTCCTGCAATACCGCACAGATAATAAAGAACAGTATGATAAAGAACTGAAGAACATCCTCAGGGAATCAGGCTATGACTAACCTGATTCCCTGAGGAAGTCTGCTGAAAGAATTCAGTAGTGCAATCTGATTACGAAATTTCCACTCAATGTCACGGTTTATGAGCTCAAACACTCCTGATCTTACAAAATAATTCTTAATAATAATACTGTTTTTAAAAATTCTGTGGTAATATCTTATTCTTGGTATAAAGTTACTACAAACTGCATTAGACTCGTGTAGGAGAATACTTCAGTGTCTTTCACTGAGTCTTCTAATATATGGTCTGGTTAAACCAAAAATGGATTCAGGAAGTCTTATAGCCCGTCTCACAAAAGACTTGCAATCTGTGCATGTAATGAATATTTGTATGGTCTATGTAATGAATATCTAATGTAATGAATATCTGCTAAATCATGGGTGAGTAAAGTTGAGTGTGTTGAGATAATATCTGTACGTCTGGTGCGATACCTCAGGACGTAGATGATGATAATTATCAGTGTGTTCAAAAACTTCAAAGGGACAGAGATTCTAGCCCGTGAAGATGGCGCTTGGATCTTTTGTTCAGATGATCTGTATTTCTTTGGTTTGTTTTGGGCTGGGTTTTATTCACCACCAACAAACTACCTATTAATTCTCCAAACTTTTTGAAGAGCAAACAATTGGAAAAATAGGAAATAAGTAAGCTTTTTTTTTTTCATGTTTTCCTGAGGCTTTCTGTAAAAATGCAGCCTAATTATGCTCCCTTTTATGCTTATGGGCCTATAAAGTGTAAGAGTTTATTTGCTGGTAAAGCGGCCATCTAACAGTTCACATATGCTATAAAAATACTTCCAGAGATAAACAAAACTGATTTATTCAAGTAGGTGGATTAGAGTTGATCTAACAGCTTTTATGCTGTTGTGTACAAGAAAACTCATCATATGACTATAGCCTCACCACTGAAAATAAGAATGATGAAATGAGCAGAACTGAAAAGTGGATTCCCTGCTTCCCTCCAGCTGGTGGCAGTGGATGTTACAAAGCAAATCACCATCGTCTGAAGTTCTTCCTACAGGCCCAGTGTACAGAGAACTTAATCTTAGTTCAAAGCAGTCACGTTGGTTTGTGTACAGATTTCTGTTTAAAAAAGTCACAAACTCTGTTTCTCTTTCGCAGGCTTTAAACAGTTATAACCAAGGAGATATCGAAGGCTCAAAAAGACTGGGTCGCAATGCCCTCTGGGTTGCTGTTGCGTCTATCATCATCGGCCTTGTCGTCGGAGTCTATTGTGCAGTTCATTTCACAACGGTAAGCGCGGTGCTGCTAGTTCCAGGGCAAACACTTCTCTGTGCACAGGCCTCAGAATAAAATACTAAAGATTATCACAACTATCCACTAATGTTAAAACGTAATTTTTACTTATTCTGCAATTTAGCAAATTCTGTTGCCTGTGGTTAAACGCAAGTGACTCTGTCTTAGCAGCAGTGATTTTCTAGAAACTCCTGCAGCTCCCGTTCATGTTTCCAGTTTAGGCAAGTTGCTTTTTGTTTACTTCTGCCCCTCAGTTTCATCATCTGCAAGACCAAGTCCATAGAGATCCTTAGATTTCAGGTAATAGAGTCCTCAGGTGCTAATTTTCAGTCTCACAGTCTGTCCAACATACCTTTTTACCTTTGCAAGAAGAAGGTGGCAGCCGATTACTATTTTAGTGTTTGATGCTAAGGTGACCCTAACTATGTCAAAAGTGACCACAAATGTCATTTTGGCTTGGCTTGCTATGGGGTTGGATTGTTCACTCTCAGTGCTGTTTGATTGTGATTTGCCTTCCTACACCTGGAACAACAGTGGACAAAGGAATCTCTATCCACAGTGGTGACCCAGTTGGATTATAAACTTGTTTGGAAAAGAGGACAAAAGTAATTGGGGTATTGATAAAATAAACAAGATTATGCAACAGGATGTTCTTTTCTCCATAGTAATGTGCATTTCACATTAAAATAACTAATTTAAATCCATTTATTTTGATTGGAGAGCCTTTCAGTGCACTGTACAAGCTTATGTATAAACAGAGATCACCTCATCCACCACTGAAACGCAAACATCTCCAGAGAGTGGAATGGAGTGGCTGGTTAGAAGAAAGCCATATTGAACTACAGGAAAGTTAGTGGAGATGGGGTTCATTTCTGTAGGATATCAGTGCTTATTGTATATTCATTCACCTCCCATGCATTTTGCAAGCATGACTCTTTCTTTGGTTCAGCTCATGTTCAGTTTGCTCAGCCCTCACATATCTAAAACCAAGCCACTTCAGGTGGGGTGTGCCAAGTTTTGTAACTGACAGCAGCAGTAAATTCCTTTGGTCGCTTCTACTACCTTACTCATCATTCCTCAGACAAGGATAGCAGCTCAGTAACTGGCAGACAGCACTGCCTTCAAGCATACAAACATTAACCAGGGCATGCTACATACATTTAGTTGTAGTCAACATTTCACTTCTGCTACAGTAGGACACTGTGTGCTGAATTTGTGCATGCTTCTTTGTGCCCATTCCCAGATATTAGTGGTAGTTAGCACTTTATATCTAGCTAGTATTTGCAAGCACCTCTCTCTCCTACCCTTAAGAAAGTAAGCAGCAGTAAATCACTGTAATATGGCTTTGGTTTTTTATTTTGTCTTTTGAGGATTTTTTTAAAGTAGTCTTGGTTTCTATGACCTACACATGATTATTTTTTCCTGGAAGTTAGTTTAGACTTCAGCAATATCTATGGAAAGCTTGACCTTTCCAGGATTCATTATTGTGTATTTTATCCACATGAAATTCATCAGCTACCATGTTACCCAGTTGCTCTTGCTGACATTCCTTATGGCTCCTTTTGCTCTTCAAAGGGTAACAACTATCAATGCAAATTACCACTGGGAGTACCCCCTTGTATTCCGTGTTCTGATGTATCTCACCCTAGAGTTGGTTGTTTACCATCCCACCATCCCATTTCTAATCTGTGCTGGTAATTTATCTTCTCCCATGACTGCTAGAGTTTCTCACAGGGGATGCTACTTGAGTATTCATAAACCCTTTGATAAACTTAACTAGCTCATTCTGATTTACTTATGGTCCTGCTGACAGTATCAAAGATGCAATGTGTAATGAGTTTGAGGGCTGGATGGGCCTCAGGAGTTCTTCTGCCATGTCCCATGTCTGAACTTCTGGAATACAACAAACTTGAGACATCCAAGTCAGGTTGGTAGGAGTGAATCTCTACCAGTTGTTACTCAACTTTTACTCTTGGTACAGAAACCTAGTTCAGGGTCAACTGGCTCTGAAGTCTCCTTCAAAACTCTTCACCTTCACCCAGGGGGCTGGCTACACATGTCGTGGAGGACAAGAAGGAACCTTCTTCTGCTAAAGTCACAAACTTCAGGCCTTTCCCATCCTGGAAGTCTCCATTCAGCCCTAGTTCAAGTGTAGTCTTTAGTTGCTCATCCTTGCTTTGTGGAGCTCAGAAACTTTCCTCTGCAGAGGCCTTGTTGGTCTTCTGTTTGTACACCCTGATTCCTGCAGTCTGCTCATGTCTTCCTGAAGCTCTTTTCTCTGGGTACTCAGTGCTTCATTCGGAGCACAGCTCTCACCATAGAGGCCACCAGTGTCCCAGCCCCAAAGACAGGCAGCAGTCATTCCCTGCATCTGCAGTGTGGACAGCTTCATTCTCTTTCCAAAACTCCATCTGGGTCAAGGCATCTGATATGCCAGACAGTTGCTGTAGCAGTTTTGGGCACGGTGCCCTGTGGCCTAGCACCACCACTGCTGCACAGTCTCAAGCAATCCCTTGCTGTCTTCAACAGTTTCTAGGTCTACTTCTGTACAAACTCAAAACTTAATGGCTCAAAACCCTCTTTGCCACTCTTGAGTATCTCTCATTGAAAGCTCTGTGAATGAGTGCTTAAATCTCCATCTCTGGATGCAGATTCCTTCAGCATACACTGGATAGTAATTTCCTCTCTATGAATGGTATTTCTAGAAGACCAGTTCAATGAGGTCAGTGCCTAACTTGCTGAATTTCAGTAGCCTGAGTATCAAAACCTGTATGTCTATTAAAAATTCCAACCAAAGTTATCTGTTCCCACATCTCTTCTGGCTTTCCAGTACCCAAACCTACTACGCGTTTCATCTTGCCTGGGAAAGGGGTTAAGTCTTGTGCTTTAAGCAGAGCTGAGGAGGGGTCCCATGGTACGTCACATGCCCCAGCTAGGAGAAAAACATCTAGTCAGGGGTGTTGAGGAAAGAAATGGTAGAAGCTGCAGAGAGAGGAAGTGCAAGAAATTCCTGCTTTGAACAAACAGTGACATAATACCCCCACTAACGCTGGTAGACTTTGGGAAGAGGAAGACCCCTTCAGTTCTCAGAAAATTCCTACCTCTAAGCCCAAAGCTTCCTTGCATGGCTTTGGTGCATTTATTTGCAGAGCAATGGTAGCACAGGAGTAACAGCAGGTGACACCTACATCTTCATGGAAAAACAGCCTTGACTTTTCATTTTGGAGATTTACTCAGGGCTTCTACAGCTGCTTTGGAGAGTGTCATTTGTCTTTAACACTGGCATGTTCTCTTTATCAAACATATATTAAGATGTACAGTGATACACACACATATATATAGACTGGAACAAGGCCCACCCAACACTTTTATAACCATTTACCTTCCGCAGCCATGACCCTGCATGTATCCAAGGGGGAGCTGTCTCTTGCATCACTGGAGTTAACAGCCCAGCAATAAACCTTGTCTGTCTTGATCAGCGTAAACTGTTTTGTTCCTTGTTATGGTGAGGAATCACTGAGTGCTAAGTTGTGATATGTGCTGAACCAAAGCTGTCCCTCATTCCACACCAGGCCAAATTTATTCATAATCCATTCTGTAACTTTCACCCTTTCCTGTCAGCTTCTCCTGCACTCCTAATTTGTCAGTTCTGAATGCTGAATTACACTTCCACTGCTTGCTCAGATGTAATTTAAACCACTATTTGTATCACCACAGTCTAGCCCTGAGTATGTGCCCATAGACATGTTGTCCCTCAAGAACTGCAGTGAGAAAAGGGACATACATCCTCCATAAGGAGACATCCCTAGGAACTGCAACAGTACAAAGCTGTGTGCCACAGCCTGCATGTGGCCTTAGTCTGATGTCCTTGGCTTAAGAAGACACACCAAAAAAAAGGGGGGGGCTGCAAGGTATGAATAATGTTTCTATTCAGGCAGACACAATCTCTTCAGCTTGGGAAAGACTTAGGAATCTGTAGTTAAAGGCAGTGAAACAGCGATTATTTGTTGTCTGCTATGGATGTGATGAAGGGGCACCAGGGAAAAGCAGCTTTAAATGAGGAGGTACTTTCCATGTGACATAGAGTGCAGCTGTGGAACTTCTTCCTTCTAGTTGCTGCAGATGTAAAGAATACTAATTACTTGCAACAGCAACAAATGAAGTTACAAGAAGAAGCTTAAGTTCAAAGATGCAGGTATAATCTCAACCTCAGAAAGTTTCTAAGCTTCAGACTGCCAGAGCTGGAAAGGAGAAATATCTCCCTGGATGTAGCCTTTTCTGATACAGTCCCTTTAGGTATTTGTAACCTGTCAATGTCAAAGATGGGGTGCTGCAAAGATGACTGTTTGCTCTGACCCAGTACCATGCTCCTTCATGAAGCCTGTTGGTAGCCTTTCCACTGACTTGGATAACTTTGGAGTCAGCCTTCCTATCTCTTTCCAAGTATTTTGATCAGTAGAAGCTGATGATTTTGTCAGTGAATGAGGGCTCTCCAGTAGTTCACAGTCTGTGTTTTCAGAGCTGACTCTTCATTTTTGGGACATACTGCAAAGTCTGTTTTGTTTTGCTTTTTGATAACACAAGACATTTGGCGTCTTTGGTTTCCATTTGAGTCCCACTGGTAGGAGTTAGGGAAACATGCTCCGGGTTTGGAACCACCTTAATTGAAGGACACTCCAAGTTTCCCAAGCTCTTTTCTTAGCTGGTTCTCAACATGTCATATTCTACTTCATGCTACCACAGGAATCATGCATTGCTCTTCCATGGCTGGGTTTGCTGCATAACCTATTGCTAGTCTGAAACAATATGCAGCTTCTTACAGCACATACGTCTAGACGATCTCTAGTGTCTGCCTGCTGCTCAGGGCAGAACTAGAGCTTACTTGAGTTTTGCTTCCCAGTTGAGCCACAACACGTATCATATAACGCCCATGGGTTTTGTACACCTCTCTGCACTCTAGGCAGAGAACCTAGAGTTCTCTGCACTCTAGGCAAGTAGGAGTGAGTCAAGTGAAAATGTGGAGAACTACTCAGTAAAGCAAGTAAAGACAGAAGCCTTTTCTGTAGAGCTCTGACTGAGGCTCTTTGGTATGAGGAAGGGTGGCCAAAGTACTGAAGGAAAGGACCGCAAGAAACTCCTGCCAATGGACCAGCACGCTACACTTCTTAACTTCACGTCAGAAGTTTATGTTGAATCCCAGTGCCCCAGGCAGGGTAGAATTATCTTCTGGTAAGAACTTACATAAGAAGGGCAGTTTTGTTCAGTGACTGCAGAATTTCATGCAAACCACTGTGATATTTTAATGCTTTCGTAGAGGAGTGTGAAATTCTGACCCCTTCTTTAATCTCACTTGGTCTAGAACTTCACCCCAAGGAAGTCACAGAAATACCACCTGTCAGCATGGCTCTGAAGGAGCACAGAAACAGCCAGGCTGTGAGGGAAGTACTAACTTGTACTGTTTCATCATCAGTAAGGTCTTAAATCAAATATACATGCAGTAATGCTACATTGGTGATTACTGGTAGAAGGAAAAGGAGTAAGCACTTAGACTGTGCACCAGGGACATGTATACATGTCTTTTTCTTAGAAATAATTCTTCAGGGGGAAAAGGCATACAAGGTTATTTTCAATCCGTCATTCCCTTCCTGAGGTTCTCAAAAGCCTTTGTAGCCATTTCACTGAGTGACTGTCTCTCAGACACAGAATAAACTGAGTAAAATGACAGAAATTGCACAGCCAGCCTCCAGATCTTTACACTGCCAATCCTGTTCATTGTACCTTACCACAGGGAAAAAAACAAAGTCAAGGAAGACTACCTGCCTCTTGCAGCAGGGATTGTCCTGCCAGTCACTGACAGAGCACGAAGTCTGAGGTCAGGGAATTCCTATTGTCTTTTACCCACACTAATTTTTGGTGTCCACCTAGCCAGTGTGCTCATACTGCTGCTTCTCTCTCAGTAAGGATGCTAACTGTTCATCTCCTTGGTACCCTACCTCTTGTTACTGGGTTTGTAAAAACCTAAGAGCTTAAAAGTCCTCCACCTGTCTATCAAACACGCTCTGTCAGCTCAGAGACTGAGTAGTGGGCAGATACATGTAGAGGCACAAAGGCAAACCACCTTTCATCTGTGAATGGAGGAAATGTCCCAACAATAGATTCTGCCCATTGGAGTCCTGAGCCTCCAAGAAATCCTCAGCATCCAAAAGACAATCAACAAAGGAGTTAATGCTGTATGCAGGATATATTTACTGTTTAGTGCCTCATGCCCTAGATTCCTCTGTAAGGAGCCTCTAAAAGGCAGCTGCCTGGTGGTGAAGATATCTTGGACTTTAGTAGACAGGCCAGCATTCAGGGACAAGCCAGTGGGATCAGTACATCAATGGATAATGTCTGAGAACTACCTCTACACAAGAATTTGAGGGAACTTCTCAGATCTTTCTTAATGCAGGTATATAAGAGGGGTTACCCAGTCCTTTTAAAATGTCTGTCATGCATTGCTGTTGCATTTACTGAGTTGTCTATTGCTGAAAGTATTGTTCTTGCCTGACTGGTTTATGTACCACTTCAAGGAAGCAGAGATGCTGGTGACCTCATGAAACTTTGTCAAATAAGAGCCCATTTCCTGGCAATGAAAGATGCTAACTTGCATTGATTCAGGTAACCCAGTTTAAACATGCAGTTCAGACTGACAGATGACTAGTGCCATTAGAAACTTAGCTCTGACTCAAATCTGTATTGAACCACTAATCTACAGGGATGTTTGTTAAGAGAACAAGTGCCACTAATGTGGAATAATGTATCCATTAGATCTGTAGAATTAATAATTTAAACTCACAAGGCAAACTCTCTGTCTTTTCCTCCTTTAAAAATATGTATTTCTGTGTCCTTGCAGTATGCTATATGAAGACCAGGAATGCACGTGGAGGATATCATCATGTAAACCTCAGGAGGGGAAAAAAGAAGAGAAGGAAACCATTCCAGACTGTTAGATTTGACCCTACAAGTCTGCAGAGGCATGTTGCTGGTGGATGAACTGATAGTCCAGCTAGTTAATCAGCATGACGTGACCAGGTTTTCCAATTATTTATTTATAAGAAATCTCAGTATAAAGCAGCATTTTCTCTTTTACCCAAATGTATAATGAGATCTTGCCCTAACAACTCCCTTTTCTTTCTCATTTACATGGAATGTATGCTGGATCCATGATGTTCCCTGGCTGACCCTAGCCAGACAAAGCCAACGTATCTTGACTGTTTATAGTGCACAATGTAAGATCTGATGCACAGCCCACTGAAGCAGGTAAAAGAATTCCTATTGTCTTTAGTGGGTTTTGGATCAGGTCATTAAGGATTTTTTCATTACTTTAAAATAGTCTCAACGTACCACAGGCACAACCATGGGTTTGTGATTTGATCCTGCTGTGAGATTTTATAGTGCCTGGGCGTACTCTGACTCAGCGGCTGCTTTCTTCTGTCATCCTCAGCTTTTAGGTCTTTACCTTGGATTTTTAACCACCTGGGACCGATTCAATCACTTGATTATTAAGAGACACTCTTCTTCCATAGCACCCATATTGTATTTCATGATTCAGTTTTGTTTTGTTGTCTTTCATTGTTGAACTCCCTTGACTTAGCTCCAGTCCTGCATTAAAGTTGCACTTGATCCTATTTTCATCTTTAAACTTCACGTATGTAAAAAGCTCCTATTTTTTTTATCTGACAAAAGATCTGTTTAAATAGATGTTCTTCATCCCTTTGTTATTGTTCCTTTGGCAAATCACATTATTTCATTGTGTTCTGCTTTGTTCATGTCTTTTCCCTTTAGTTCATCCTCTCATCTTGCTATGAATAGTCTATATATCAATGCAGTTAGAGATGGACAGACTTTTGGACCCTTACACTCTTGGTGATCCTAAGATATTACTTAGTGAAAAGCCTTAGGTTACAGAATTGATGGCCTCTGAGTTACTGCAGTTTCTTGATACCTTAGGAAAACTCAGCATGGGACATCTGTTTTTTATTTGCTGGAAGCTGTTTCAAGGAATATATTCATTTTGTCACACAAATATACCATGTTAAAAGGAGTAACCTCTGGTAAGCATTAAGATATGGCTACATCTTCAGTGGTTGTTGCTCCATTTGCTTTAATTGTTACTACATCTTCAAGCAAGCTATACCAGCTTACACCTCCTGTTCTTGCACTAACATAACTCTGGACTGACTACCCAGAAACACATGGGAGTTTTTCAGGTGCAAGTAAGAAAAGAATCATGCCCGGCAGGAGTACAACTACCTGTTTAAAAAGAAACAATCTCCTAGAAACCTTTATCTGTTACAGCATATGCCTGGATGTAGCATGTATTTTCTGTGCCTTGATATTATTCTTTCAATGTGCTTTTTTTGCTTTTCTTTCTGTTTTTCATTGAAGTCAGTGATGCATTGCCTGTCCTTAATGACTCCAGTGTAAAACTTCCCAGATACTGGTGAAATCAGTTGATTTTTTTCAGCATTTACACTGATTGGATTTACCCACATGGTAATCTTGCCACTGATTTTGATGATCCCAAGAACTGGCTGTTTTGTGAACTCCTTTTTGTTTTTGAATACTATTTCAATGGTCTGAGATGTCTTGTGGGACTTTTAGTAGTTTGCCTTATTATCAGATATGATAGAACTGCAATTGAGATGTGGAATAAAATTACTTTTAATTCATGTCCATTCTGGTATGTGGGAAGTGTCTTTACTAAGTTTTGTTGCCTCTTCTATTTTATAGAATAACATCCCTTTTCCTAACCTTGGATAGTTTCAAAATAAAGTGAATCAGAGCAAAAGCAGGATTTCTGGCCTATGTGATACTATACAACCAGCCTGTAGCGGAGCTAGGACATTCAGAAGTTACTAGAGACCAGTTAATGCTCAAAACATCAGCAAGGTAGGCTCTTTGCTTCATTTTCAAAATAGCATCCAGAAAGTGTTGAGGCCTTTTCCAAATGGTCCCTCGGTGGTCTCTTTGGGTCTTTCCTGCCATGAAAGTGGTCAAAGGAGGTCTCTCTCAGCAGGTAACAGAGGTCACATTTCCACCACCTTGAATTCCTGGCATCAAAGTAAGCACTACTGCATTGCTGTAGTAATAGTTTTCTATGTGACAGAAATCAAAGCATGTACAGAAAGCTTCATCCTTCTGCAGAATATTAAACTGCAGTACTGTAAACTAAACCACAGCTATCTGGGTGAAAGGGCAGAAACATTTCCAAAGTTATTTGGGTACTAGAGGATAGGGCTAGGCAACTTGAAGTATGCTCTGAAAGTGCCTAACAAGGACTTAGATCAATAGCAGCTAGACACCCGATTTGTTCAGATGGTTTTGAAAACCATACTGGAAATCTAACTTGCATCTTGATGCTCATAAATATCTTTGAATCCTGCTCTCAATATAATTGAGGATTAAGCCATTGTATCTTCAGTGCTTCTGCAGATAAATGTTGCTACCTTGCACTGCTATTGATTGGTATAAAAATAAAGGCTTTGTATTAAACCACTTAATGTGACAGAGAGGGGAAAATGCAGCAATTCCTCTAACATCCTTTAGTGCTTCTATGTCATAGGTAATATTTTTGCTTTACTAATGTACTGGTATATGTTCTCTTCATTTATTTATGTTTACATAAATTTTAAAGCATGTTTGAGAAATGCAGTCAAACACAGCTTGTGCTGGAAATGGATATGGTCCTTGTGCAACCAAATGGTTCTGGGGTAGGTGTGACAGACCCATACAAAGTCAGGTATCAAACACAGGAAAGCTAAATGGCATTTTACTGCCCAAATCAGCAAGACCCCTGGTGACAGTGTGTGCTTGCAGCCCAGCAAGCCAACCGTATCCTGGGCTGTATCAAAAGGAGCGTGATCAGCAGGTTGAAGGAGGTGATCCTGCCCCTCTACTCTGCTCTTGTGAGACCTCACCTGGAGTATTGTGTGCAGTTCTGGTGTCCTCAACACGAAAAGGAACTGTTGGAACAAGTCCAGAGGAGGGCCACGAGGATGATCAGGGGACTGGAGCACCTCCTGTATGAAGATAGGATAAGAAAGTTGGGGCTGTTCAGCCTGGAGAAGAGAAGGCTGCATGGAGACCTCATAGCAGCCTTCCAGTATCTGAAGGGGGCCTATAGGGATGCTGGGGAGGGACTCTTCATTAGGGACTGTAGTGACAGGACAAGGGGTAACAGGTTCAAACTGAAACAGGGGAAGTTTAGATTGGATATAAGGAGGAAATTCTTTCCTGTTAGGGTGGTGAGGCACTGGAATGGGTTGCCCAGGGAGGTTGTGAATGCTCTGTCCCTGGCAGTGTTCAAGACCAGGTTGGACGAAGCCTTAGGTGATATGGTTTAGTGTGAGGTGTCCCTGCCCATGGCAGGGGGGCTGGAACTGGATGATCTTAAGGTCCTTTCCAACCCTAACTATTGTATGATTCTATGACAGCAGTGGGTGTGGAAAGCAGAATGCAGGGGCATATAAGCAAATCTCATTATCTATGACAGGCTCTGGAAATAACTTGTCTTTCATCATCATGCATCTAGATTTGGACCTGGGCCACTATTATTATGCATTGCACTTACCATTTTCTGGTGAAGGGAAAAAAAGAAAAAAAAAGAGCATGACATAAGAGGGGGGAAAGCAGTGAAACACATTTCAACTCAACATCTGTGTCCTGGGCAGCAGAACAGTGTCTTCCTCCCACAGAGCTGCTCTGGGCTTCCATTTTTTGATGCAGTTTTCCTGCATGCTGAAGGCACCAACTAATGCCTGAAGTCCAGCTCTCTTTTCCTTCCTGCATGTATTACAGGCAGAGACAGATGGAAACTTGAAAATGCTGGCCTCAGCTCCTGGATCATGTTAGCATCTTCCAGGGCAGCTGCATTCTGTGTAACACCAGCGTGTATGTATCTTGATATGTAACCCTAGAAGAGGGTTTCTAAATATAAGCGGAGTTTCTTTGCTGCCATGTGAAGGGGGTCAGGCAGACACTTAAACAACATGTGGTGTATGCTTCATCAGATTGCACAGAAAAAAACTAGCCGGGGCAACATGAAATGAAATTCTTAGGGTGCCCCCCTGCAGGCACATGCAGGAGTTCACAGCTTGTGACTTCAGGATCGCTACTGGCTCTGCAATGTATGGGATTGAAACCATAATCCACCAACAGCATGGCTCAGGGCTCTAGAAGCTGTTGCTTTTGTACCTGTATCTTTAGACATGTTCACAGTGTGAACTGTGTTCTGCCCCTCTGCTTGGAGATAGGGGGTATGTGATTGCTACCAGAGACTGGGTCATCTTCTGAGTTAGTTTTCACTTTGTGTGCATCGTGGGCACACATGCACAAGAGGATGCTATTTGAAGGACTGCATTTCCCAAGGCAGGTAACATTTAAATGCAAAGCAAGTTGCTGGATTGATTCAGGGTGAAGGTGCAAAGCCACATCCTGCTTACCTGACAGCTGTTCAGAAGCCTTTATATGGTGTGTTTCATGTAGGGAAGAGTCCATATCACCAAACCTTCACTCCTGATAATGAGGTAAACTAAGAAGAAGCTGAATAAATGTGGATCCTACCTGGACTTTGAAGGGGATGCCTCATGGCAAAGTCAGAGACATCAGAAGGCCTGCGCAGAGCAGTTTGCATAGCTGCTGCCTGACCCACAGCTTTTCTAAGACTCAGCCTTCAGACTTTCACAGGCAGTACCTTCAGGCTGAAACACTACTTGAATGTTGGTTTCCTCTTGCTATCCTCCCATCTCCAACCTCATCTTTAATTAGTAGGTCTCTGAAGGTGTGCAGTGTTATGTTGGAGTAGAGGAGTTGAGAAGGGATGCAGTAGTCTACCAGTGATTTTTATGTGCACTCACAATTTTCCACTTCCCAAGCACAACGGCATGTTCTGCACGCACAGCAATGGCATGTGTCCCTGAAATGCGAGTGAGCCTTTAAGGAGGCTGCCCAACTTCCTCTGCATCACACCCTGGCAGCCTGGCAAAATGGGCTAAATTCAGAAGTGACATGAAAGAAGGAGGGGGTTTGAAAACAGATCACTCAGACAGTGTAAAAATGGAAGAACAAGCTTGGGAGCCCAAGGTAGCAAGAAAGATTATAGTAAAAAATTAACTGGGAGGTTTCTGCACTTAAGTTTATCCTGTCTTGATCTCTAGGGTAAGTTCTGCTGCTGCTACCACCCAGCTCACTCTCGCTAGCACACAAGCTACAAGAAGCACTTGTGTGTCCTTTATAATGTGATTTATGGCATGCCTGAATTTGATCTACCAGCTCCTGACTGAGGATGGCTCTTCTGGTTTTGTCATATCTAGATGTAGGACTGAGTCAGCTTCCACTTCGCTCGCAATACTTCTCTCTGGTTAAATAAGCTTGCATCATGTCAAGGAAAAAGAACTGTACCAGATAACAACAGACCCATCAGAACTTTAAACTGCACAGTCTGAGACTTCAGGCCACTCAATTTCTTTTTTCAACATGTACTCTGGAGTAAGAGAAGGGGAAAGTCCACAACCAGAGCAGGCTGTGTGGTAATGGTGAGCCATGGCAGCCTCATGTACACATATTTCAACCAGTATTCGATGGGGATTTAAATGCCTTTTGATTTTAATCAACTCCAGGAGATAATCCAGAGAAAATGAGATTCTGGTCTAGAGCACAAGTGGTTGGTGAGTGATGTTACTTCCTTGAAAGAATTTAGCTTGAACACTTTGAGCTTGAAAGTTTTGCAAAGCCATTCTTCACCCCACTTAACCAAAGACATACATTGCCCTAACATAGGTCTCTTCTGACTCGAGATTTTGACCTTACTGTCTTTAAAAAAGAGCCATCTGGGAAGAGAAGACGGTAAGTGATATCTCCAAGGGGGTAGAATAACTCAGTAGTAAAGATGTCACTTCATTTGACTCCCAGCCTGTACAACAGCAAAAGTGCTCTGTCATGGTGGTTAGAACCCTGACATCTGCTGATCCTCACGACCTTATGAGCCCAGAACAAAAATGCCTTAAAATTAATTTCTGAAGAGGATGTTCTGTGTGAGTTTTAACAGTCAGGCCAGGTCTAGTCCATATTTATCAAGGAAGGTAGATGTAAGTAAAGGAGAAAAGAGCTGACCTTTGCTTGTGGACAGTGACATGGTTAATAACAGAGACCATGTGGCTCTTCTACAAGCGTCTCCTTTTAAAACCTCACATTGCCCTATGAGGTGGCACACTCATGACACCCGATATAGCATTTAATCAATTACTTTTACCTTGGTTTATGGGCTGTGGACGGCCTGGAAGTAGCCTGTGCTCTTTCTTTTCAAGGGACCTTCTTGTTCAAAACCATTCAGTTACATTTTCCACCTGACCCTTTTACCCTCAAGCCTGCCACGTGCAATTCAAACTGTTGTGATTCACCACATGATTTCTTTTTCCTGAGCAGACAGCCATAAATCCTGGGGCGCTCCCATTTATAGAATAGCTAGGGTTGGAAAGGACCTTAAGATCATCAAGTTCCAACCCTCCTGCCACGGGCAGGGACACCTCACACTAAACCATCTCACCCAAGGCCTCGTCCAACCTGGCCTTGAACACTGCCAGGGATGGAGCATTCACAACCTTCCTGGGCAACCCATTCCAGTGCCTCAGCACCCTAACAGGAAAGAAATTTTTGATGTCATTGCTAATGCCA